TAATAATAATAATAATAATAATAATAATAATAATAATAATAATAATAATAATAATAATAATAATAATAATAATAATAATAAAGTTGGAAGGGACCTTGGAGGTCATCGAGTCCAACCCCCTGCTCAGGCAGGAAACCCTATACCATTTCAGACAAATGGCTGTCCAGTCTCTTCTTAAAAACTTCCAGTGTTGGAGCATACACTGCTTCTGGAGGCAGGTTGTTCCACTGGTTAATTGTTCTAACTGTCAGGAAGTTTCTCCTTAGTTCTAGGTTGCTTCTCTCCTTGATCAGTTTCTATCCGTTGCTTCTCATCCTGCCTTCAGGCGCTTTGGAGAATAGCTTCACTCCCTCTTCTTTGTAGCAGCCCCTGAGATATTGGAACACTGCTATCATGTCCCCCCCTCATCCTTCTCTTCTCGTTAAACTAGACATACCCAATTCCAGCAACCGTTCCTTATATGTTTTAGCCTCCAGTCCCCTAATCATCTTTGTTGCTCTTCTCTGTACTCTTTCTAGAGTCTCAGCATCTTTTTTACATCGTGGTGACCAAAACTGGATTAACAGAATCTTGCAAGTTTGAAAAGTTTCAAAACATAAATCTCCCACCCTCACTTTTAACAATTAGGGAGGATCCTTTTTAAGCTTCTTTCTTTGCCCATTAAGCCATTGTGGGTACTTCTTGCTTCTATCTGATCCTTCCCTAGGCAGCATCTCTTCTCCTGTCCCTCAAGGTCATTCCCACAAACCATTACAGATATTTACCATTCCTACTGGTAGATAATCCCCCCCCTTCCAGTTTTTTCTGCTGCTGTCCCAAAGGTGCTTTTTCAAAAGGCAACTGGACATATTTTTTTTTCCCCTGAAGAAATTTCGCTTCTCATCCAAGAAGCATCCTGACTGAAGGCTGGGGATTGAATGCCGTGTGCTCCATCATGTCAGGTTTTTAAAGAAGAGATTAGAAAACTGTTTTGCCCCCAAACATCCCTTTCAGAGAAAAGAGAGAAGACGATAATAGCAATAGCACTTAGACTTATATACCGCTTCACAGTGCTTTACGGCCCCTCTATAAGCGGTTTACAGAGTCAGCCTACGGCCCCCAACAATCTGGGTCCTCATTTTATCTACCTCGGAAGGATGGAAGGCTGAGTCAACCTTGAATTGGTGAGACTCGAACTGCCAAACTGCTGACAGATGGCAGTCAGCAGAAGGAGCCTGCATTACTGCATTCTAATCACTGGGCCACCAGGCCTCAGAAGCCTATGCATGTTACCTGGATCTATCAGGACCTCTTTAGCAGCCGCGATGTCAATGAATCTTTTCTCGGCTTCCTTCTTCTCATCTTCCGACTGGAAATTGTCAGGGTGCCATTGCTGAGCCAGCTTTCGGTATGCTTTGATGATCTCCTGCTTGTTTGCATTTCTGGGGGGGGGGGCATGAGAAAGAGGCCTGTTTAGGTTAGGGCAGGGGTAGGCAACCTTGGCTCTTTTATGACTCTTAGACTTCAACTCCCAGAATTCCGGAGCCAGCCATGCTGAGGGGAAAGGGAGAGGTTTCCAAGCTGAGCCATGCTGGCTCAGGAATTCTGGGCGTTGAAGTCCACGAGTCATACAAGAGCCAAGGTTGCCTACCCCTGGGCTAGAGAGAGCTGAAGCCTCATCCCTTTGGGGGCCAGAAATTAGCTCCATGGTGTGGATTATACACAGGAGAAGACCCATGTGTCTTCCTTCTGCCGGTGGAAATAGGGAGGCAGGTATAATTGCAGATTGCAAGAGATAAATTAAAAACGTACTCCTTTTATCTACAGTAGGTCCACAATGCTATAATTATTGGAGATTTACAGTCATACACCTAGGTGAAATTATTTTTAACTGACACTCCCATACATGAGTTTAGAGCCCAAGCAGTGGGTTTTTTCGTTCTCACCAAATATATAAAGATAGTCCAAGACGGGAAACTTATGGTGCTTCCAGAAGTTGTGAACTACAATTCCCAGCAGCCAACAGGGTCAGAAATGGGAGGATTTGGGGAGCTGTAGTTCAGCATTGGGAGTGGGGCAGGTGTGATGGCTCAGCGGTTAAAGATGCCGACCTTGTCAGCTAAAAAGGTGACAGCCCAGATTCAAGACCCGGGTGTCACATGATGGGGTGAGCTCCCGTCCTCGCCCCAGCTCCTGTCCATCTAGGAGTTTGAAAGCAGGCAAATGTGAGTAGATAAATAGGTACCACTTTGGTGGGAAACTAACAGCATTCCATGGGCCTCGGTATATAGTCATGCTAGCTGCATGACCATCGAAGCGTCTTCAGACAATGCTGGCTCCCTTGGCTACAAAACGGATATGAGCACTGCTCTCTACAGTCGGACACGCCTGGACAGAGGAAATCTTTACTTTTACCTTTGGTTCAGAATATTTGGAAAGGCCTATGATATCTACTCCTGTTCTCTCCCTGGTGTTTGCTGACTCTCATACCTCTCGTTGGGAGAGGGAGCTGACAAAGAAACTCCACTTGCTAGGTTTTACGGGGGATGCTCTGGGAGATTATGGTCTCAAGGGCGCCCAGTTTAGGGTAGTCCAACGGCTTGTGGACATAGATTTGCAATATTTAAGAGCCAGAGTCAACAAAACCTGCTCCCCTTTGATCTTCAGCCATTCTAATAATTATGGATTGAGGATGGCTTCATATTTCTATACTCTTAACCATCCCTAAGTATAGAAGAGTCTTTTCCCTGGCCCGTTTCAATGTCTTGCCCTCAGCACTACTCGATGGGCGATTTAAGAGGCTCCCGTTTAGTGAGCGACTATGCCCCTGTGATAGGGCCGAAGTTGAAACTGTGGAGCATGTCTTATCATACTGCCCTATGTATAACATAGGGCAGAATTAAATTACTGTCTCTCCTTGGAATTGATCCCTCTGGTTCTAATGTTAGTAATTTGGTCCTATATTGTTTAGGGGATGTCTCCTCCTATATTACTACTCAGGTTTCTAAATTTCTTTTAAGAGCTGTAACTATTAGAGGAGAACGTTGTAATTCCCTTTAGCCAAGGCTTCTGGTGTTTAATTGTTTGTGATTATATTTTCTTGTGTTTTCTTTTGTTGCACTTGCATTTTGGTCTGTGACCGCAAATAAAAAAAAAATTATTATTATTATTATTACTCCCGTTCTCGCTTTTACGGGACTCTGCAATTCTGAGCCATTATGTGGTCCGCTTCTTTGGGGCTATGTTTGAATCTACCAATTAAGGCTGTTGTGGCTTAGTCAACAAGCCATGGTTTAAAAAAAAGGCTTGGCTGAACATGCTGTTCGTTCCAAGCCAGCTGGCCTTGTTAATGTAAATAGATTTTTATTTTTTTTTCCTGGCAGAAAGAAGCCTTGAGGTGACAAAAGTGCAGCAGCTGTTCTGGCGTCCCAAAATCATTAAACCAGGACTTCAACCTTCATGGTTACAGTACAGTACAGGTTTTAATGTTCTATTACAGGAGAATTCCTCTCAGCAGTTTTAATCCCGGATTGTGAAAGACTTGGATAGCAAAGATGAACCTGCTTACCTCTGAATTCCAAGGATTTTGTAATAGTTCCTCTTCTTGGACTGTTTCAGCAGTTTTTGTGCCCTCTCTAGTCCCTCTTTTAATTCCTCATTTTCAGCATCAAATTCTTTCGCTTCTTGATAATCTTCAATGGCTAGAGATTAAAAAAAAAAAAAAGCTAGTTTTAATTCTTTCAATGAGAAAGCTTCCCACCCCCCCCAAGCTTTGACCCTTTGGTCAAAGACTTATATAGAATGGAAATATGCAACCTTCATCTGCAAGTACCAGATACTCTGCAGGTTATCGGCTATTCTCCAAAAACAGACAGGGGCAGGACTCCTGTTTAGAGACAGTGTTAATCCCATGGGAGTAACTTTTAAGGTGTAAAGTGTCTGGCAAGGTTCAGGGCACCATCCCAAAGATGCTTTCCCCCCCCCCCCCAAATGGCAACTTTTTTTTATTTTGAAAACATTTTTTGAAGCTCCTTGGATGAGAAGCAAAATGGTTTCAAAGGTAAAAAAAACCAAGAAAGTCCAGTTGCCTTTTGGAAAAAAAAAAAATCACCTTTGGGACAACCACGACCTGGATGACTGAGAATCTCCACTGACGTTCAAGGCACTAATTTTACCCCTTAACTTCCCAAATGAGAAAAAAATGAAAGGAAAATGAAAAGAGGTCTGGAGTGTACACCTATCCATCTAGTGTGTGTGTGTGTGTGTGTGTGTTTAGAGGAATTGCTGGTGAGACATATCTCTCTCCCCCAATGGCATTAAAAAAGAATTCTGAAGTAGAATTAGATGTACAATTGTAACACAATATAACAGAAGAGATTCCATTTAGGGAATAGTCCTGTGTTTGGTCCCATTTTTCTCCCTGTTAATAATGAAATGTTGGGTTTTTTTAAAAAAAATACACTCCCAGGTTCAAGATAGATCAGTGATGGTGAACCTTTTAGAGACCGAGTGCCCAAAAATCGGCCCGCCCCTGCTCCGCCCGCCCGCTCCCGCCCTGCTCCGCCCTCACCCCGCCCACCCTCAGGGCCATCTGCGGCACGCCGCAGATCGCCCAGGCGGTCCTGCAGCGTCATGGTGGCCACACCCTCCACCCGCAGCATCATCTGCTGCCCACCTGCCATGTGCTTGGCTGTGCAGCTCCGCATGGACCGCACCTGGGGGGTGACTCTTCTCCGGGGGGGGGGGCTGCTGGTGAAGAGGGAGCTATGGGGGGAGGCGGGGCTTGGGCGACAGCATGCGTGCCCACAGAGAGGGCTCCAAGTGCCGCCTCTGGCACTAGTGCCATAGGTTCGCCACCACTGAGATAGATATTTGGATCACTTTTTATTGCCTCTGGATGAGATTTTTGGGTGGCCTGGAAATGAACAATCCGGCTTCTGTACTTTGTGATGACAAAGTGGTTTGACTGGGACGATACGTTTGCCAAGAAATGGATAAGCCAGAGAACCAGTTTGGTGTAGCGGTTAAGGCATCAGGCTAAGAACCGGGAGACTTTGAGTTCCAATCTTGCCTTAGGCAGGAAGCCAGCTGGGTGACCTTGGACTAGTCATACAATCTCAGCCCTAGGAAGGAGGCCGTGGCAAATCGCTCCTGAGAAACCTTGCCAAGAAAATGGCAGGGACTTGTCCAGGCAGTTTCTGAGAATTAAACACGGCTGAACGGAAGGAAAAATAAATAAGCAAAAGTAGATTAACTATGGGATGGGAGGAGGAAGAAATGGACCGGATGAGGCTCCCCCTGCGGTGGGCATGAGGTGGCTCGGAGGCTGACCTTTCTCAAATTCTTCGTTCAGGATGAAGGCCTCTGCTCTGTCGCGCAGGACGAAGGTATTTCTGGGGTCAAGCTGGTGGGCTTCACTGCAGAGATCTATTGCTTCTGCAACCCGTTTGCTCTGCGATAGGAGGTAGAAGAGGTAGAAGAGGACTTTTGTCGGCTAACCCATTCACACATCCCTTCCGGGTCCTGAACATCTGCTCCGATTTACCCCATGATAGCAATAGCAATAGCACTTAGACTTATATAATGCTTCACAGTGCTTTCCGGCCCTCTCTAAGCGGTTTGCAGAATCAGCCTGTTGCCCCCAACAATCTAGGTCCTCGTTTTAACTGACCTCGGAAGGATGGAAAGCTGAGTCAACCTTGAGCCGAACTGCTGGCAGTGGGCAGAGTTTGCCTGCAATACTGCATTACAGTAGGGAGGGAGGGAAGGAAACAAAAAGGCAGGAAGAAAGAAAGGAAGGAAGGGACGGAGGGAAGGATAGCAGCAATAGCACTTAAGACTTATATAATGCTTCACAGTGCTTTCTGGCCCTCTCTAAGCGGTTTGCAGAGTCAGCCTATTGCCCACAACAATCTGTCTCCTCATTTTAACCGACCTTGGAAGGATGGAAGGCTGAGTCAACCTTGAGCCGGTGCCAAACTGCTGGCAGCCGGCAGTCAGCAGAAGTAGCCTGCAGTACTGCATTCTAGCCACTGCTCCATCAGGGCTTGGGATCTCACAATGGGGTTCTTAACAACACGCTCTCAGTTTAATTGTATTTCCTTAACTGTTTAAGAAATCCATAAGGCTTTCCATGTGGAACAGTGTGATTCTGGACAGCTTAGAGATAGTCCTTGTGTTATGACCATAACGGAGTCCGCCCCTTATGGTAATAACTTCTAATGGTTGTAAAACAGGTTGGTTGTGTGATTGACCCAATTTTATATATATATATTGCGATGGTCATTAAGCAAACGGAGTGGTCCTAAATGCGAATACCCGGGTTGGTAAACAAACATGGCAGTTATAAGCGTGAACCCTGAGTCGCTTAGCAGTGGTTGTAAGTGCAATCCCATTTGTTGTGGGTGCGGTTTTGCTGGAAATTAAGTGCTGTTTTTTTGGCAAAACCGCTGCAAAATGCGGTTATGTGTCGCTGGGGGAATGCTGCAAATGCCCGAAGTGTGGTCATGTGACCACGGGAGGGGGAGGCATGAATATCAGAACTTGGATCTGGGTTGTAAGTCCCCCTTTTCAGGTGGGTCGTAACTTCTAACGGTCACTAAACAACCGAGGACTACCTGTACAATGAATTCCCCCAAATAAGCAAAAACGGCCAATTCCATCAGAATATAAACAAATACTCGCTAAGTCATCAGGAACTTGAAATTGTTATCCTCCTCAAAATGAGGACTCCCATTAAACTGTCCAAGGAAAAAGCCAGGTTTTTAATGCCTTTCGACTGGGCCAGGTGGATTTGACAAATAAACCCATCTTGTGACATTATTTCCAGCTAGTTGGGGAAGGCTCAAAGGAATTCTTGAGCAAAAAATCTGGACAACCTTTGTGGTGCACAATTTCAGAGTCCTTGCACATGCCTTGGGTTATGATTTCTATTATCTCTGACCGACATGGTCCTCCAAAACATCTGGAGAAGATCAGCTTGCCAAGGGCTGCAGATCAAGAACCACGTCCCCATTTATGCAGGAAGGAAGCAAAATCTCAGATAGGTGGAGCAACAGAACCACAGACAGACAGATAGAGGCCTGATAGTAGATCCAAGAAGTAAGCACAAATCCCCATTTCAACTTTATGAGATTAAGCAAGGCATTCGCACGTCCTCCGGCCTCTGGTCACATTATACCAAATCAGGCAGCTTCCCAAAGAGGTTGGTTAATCGCCAGGGGCCCAAACGCTTGATGGAATTGGGTATGTCTAGTTTAATGAAAAGAAAGACTAAGGGGGACATGACAGGGTGTCAAGCTATTCTCCAAAGCACCTGAAGGCAGGACAAGAAGCAACGGATGAAAACTCATCAAGGAGAGAAGCAATCTAGAACTGAGGAGAAATTTCCTGACAGTTAGCACAATTAACCAGTGGAACAACTTGCCTCCATAAGTTGTGAATGCTCCAACACTGGAAGTTTTTAAGAAGAGATTGGACAACCATTTGTCTGAAATTGTACAGGGTCTCCTGCCTGAGCAGGGGGTTGGACTAGAAGACCGCCAAGGTCTCTTCCAATTCTGATTCTGATTCTATTCCATTCCACTCCACTAATTATTTCGATTCATTTAGAAGGAGTTCCTCAAATTCAGCTTCTACCTTGGATAAGCAGTGGCAGATCTGTCCTTTTGCTTTTATGGTGTAGATCTCTACATTGGGTTCTGTTTTCATGGCTGCTTTGTACTTCTCAATGGCATCTGCATATCTGTTATTAGAGAACAGCAAAGAAGAAACAATATTGGACAAGGAACACAGCTAGTGAATGTTGATATAGCAATAGCATTTATATACTGCCCCGTAGCACTTTACAGCACTTTCTGGGTGGTTTACGTTGTAAGTATTTTTCGCGTATTGCCCCCAACAATCTGGGTCCTACCTAAAAGGGGTGGGCATTCTTTTGCCCCATTCCTGGAGGGCAGGTACAGTCCATGGGGTATTTAGCAAGGGGGGGGGGATGAACTCACCAAAAAGACAGATTAGCATTTTTGTTTCCCCATTCCTGTTTCAGGATTTTGGGCTTTAAAAAAATTAATTATGTCGGTGCATTAAATGGCTAGACTGCATTTGGAAGCATCAGCTATTATGAAGCACTAGGGTTAGGGTTTTGCTTCCTTAAAAGTGGAAAAATAGATTCAGCTCTCATGCATGAAAAAAAAAACAACCACCTCCCAGAATTTGACAGAACAAAATGAAAATTGTGACGGGGTTTCATTTTGAACGGTGTTTGGAGAGAGGAAATATTCTGTGTTTCATGGCAAGACAAATTCCCCTGGGAAACTTTATCCAGAAAATGAAATGGGAAGGAAGTGGTCCTTCAAGCAACTGATAATAGACTATTACTTTGCTTTGTTATCTTTTAGAATTTGCTACCGTCACGTGTCAGGGAAATAAAAAGGTAAAGGTAAAAGTTTATCCTGTCCAGTTGTGTCCGATTGTAGGGGACGGTGCTCATCTCTGTTTCTTGGCTGAGGGAGCCAGCATTGTCTGAAAACAATTTTTGTGGCCATGTGGCCAGCATGGTTATAGGCCAAAAGCGCACAGAACGCTGTTACATTCCCACTGAAGTGGTACCTATTTATCTACTCGCATTTGCCTGCTTCTGAACTTCCAGGTGGGCTGGAGCTGGGGCAAGTAACGAGAGCTGACTCCGTTCCGTGGCACTTGAGTCTCGAACCGGGCTGTCATTTTCCAGCTGACACAAACTCAGGGTCTTTAACTGCTGAGCCATGACGCGCCCCCCCCCCCCAGTCAGAGAAATGGCTACTGACTTACATGTTTTCAGAGCTAGTGAGTAAGACGTTATTTTCAAATCGTTACCTAACCCCACCCTTCCACAATTTTGTTGAAGCTACATTGAAAATGACTTATAGATAATCCCCAGCTTACAATTGCAATTGATTCTGGAATCAATTTGCCAGTGTCCGTCGTTAAGCAGATCACTTCTTTTGCAGCGGTGGTTAAAGAGATTCACCATGGTGGTTAAGTGAACACACGGGTCATTAAGCATAGCCATTGTCCGCAATGGGCGATTTTTTTTTTTTTTTTGCCAAACCCCGGAAATAAATGCGTTTCTGGCAAAAAAAAAAAAGTTGTAAATAACAGTTGTGTGGCCTCAGAATGCTTTAAACCGCCATTTGCTGAGTGCCCAAAATACGATCGCATGAAATGTAGGGCGGAGGGAGGACAGCCATTGCAACTTCAAATTTTGGAACATTGGTAACCCTGGGGAAGGCTGTGATAACTTTGGATGCTTGCTAAGCTAAGCAACTGGTCATTAAGTTGAGGACTATCTATATACCAATAAGGTGCTTTTTATGCTTGGGGTGCTCCAGTTACAAATATTGAGTTGGCAAACTGGGACACATCCCACGACTGTAATTCTTGAGAGCCACCAAACTCCAAAGTCCTAAGCTTCAAGCATGAAAGTCTTGATTCACATCAGTGCTCCTCGTGGAACATCAAAACAAGGACCTGGATTTGCAAAATAAGCATAATCAGAAGTAGACCTCCATATTCCTTGATCCCGTTTCTGGGATTCAATCAGAGAGGATCGCTTCATATCCTTACCAGCATGCCCAAGTATTTTATTCATGGTTCTTGTGCCATACAACCTCCGTGTGTTGTAAAGGTAAGTTAGGTGGTGCACCATGTGGGCTGTTGAAATCTCAGTAAGTGTTAAGGCCAAAGTCAGCTTAGATACGGACATCCATGCAAACAGAGACCCCAGGATGGGAAGATCACCTCTCTCGAAACTACACGAGGAGTCGTCTAAGGTCGACGAACCACTCGAAGAAGTGAACGAACATCACCCTTTTTGTTCGGAACAGCAGAACCAGGTCGAAGTTCGTGAGTGCGTGAACCGACACCTTTTCTAACTCTCACTCTTGACTTTCTCCCTCTATTATTATTATTATTATTATTATTATTATTATTATTATTATTATATAATAATAATAATAATAATAATAATAATAATAATAATAATAATAGTAGTAAAGTTGGAAGGGACCTTGAAGGTCATCTAGTCCAAGCCCCTGCTCAGGCAGGAAACCCTATACCATTCCGGACAAATGGCTGTCCAGTCTCTTCTTAAAAATCTCCAGTGTTGGAGCACTCACCGCTTCTGGAGGCAGGTTGTTCCATTGGTTAATTGTTCTCACTGTCAGGAAGTTTCTCCTTAGTTCTAGATTGCTTCTCTCCTTGCTTAGTTTCCACCCGTTGCTTCTTGTCCTGCCTCCAGGCGCTTTGGAAAATAGCTTGATTCCCTCTTCTTTGTGGCAGCCCCTGAGATATTGGAACATTGCTATCATGTCCCCCCTCGTCCTTCTCTTCGTTAAACTAGACATACCCAATTCCAGCAGCCATTCCTTATATGCTTTAGCCTCCAGTCCCCTAATGTTTGAAGCCATCCAGGCAGGGAAACTGAGGCAGAGAGAAGCCCTTTGCTAAGGGGTCTCTTAGCTGAATAATGTCCCCCAGAAGTGATAGCAGTATTCCAGTAGTTGAGGGGCTGGCACAAAGAAGAGAGGGTCAACTTATTTTCCAAAGCCCCTGATGGCAAGACAAAAAACAATGAATGGAAACTAATTTAGGAGAGAATCAACCTGGAATAAAGGAGAAACCTCCTAACAGTGAGAATAATTAACCAGTGGAACAGCTTGCCACCAGAAGTTGTGGGTGCTTCATCACTGGAGGTTTTTAAGGAGAGACTGGACAGCCAATCCATAGTTCCTTCCAGCACTATTCTGAATTAAAGTTCCAGAAGAAGGAGATAAGCAGACAGTTCAAAGAAACTGAAGTCATAACAGAATAACAGAGTTGGAAGGGACCTTGGAGATCTTCTAATCCAACCCCCTGCTCAGGCAGCAAACCCTATACCATTTCAGACAAATGGTTGTCCAATCTCTTCTTAAAAACTTCCACTGTTGGAGCACCCAAAAGTTCTGAAGGCAAGTCGTTCTACTGATCAACTGTCAGGAAATTTCTCCTCAGTTCTAGGTTGGTTCTCTCCTTGATTAGTTATGAGCTTCTCTTTCCTATGCATGTTTTTTTTTTAAATAAAACTGCCTTTGTATTTGACTTTACTCCATTGATAAAATTTAGATATTGCTGTTTATTTATTTATTACAGCCCCATACATGATTCTGGGCCGCTCACAGTGTTAACACATACACAATACCCTAAATAACCAAAATTATTATTTGGCGTACAATGAGAACATGACAAAGAGACAAAATAAAAACCATTCAAACACATTAATAATAACAAAATCATTAAAATCATAGGGAAAAAAAATGTAACCTGCAAAAGCACAACCCAGCCTATTAACAATACCGCCATTTTGAAGGCTCCACCCTACCAGATTGCAGACAGCTGATCATTTGCCTTCTTTTAGAGCAGTGTTTCTCAACCTTGACAATTTTAAGGCATGTGGACTTCAACTCCCAGAATTCCACAGCCAGCATTGCTGGCTGTGGAATTCTGGGAGTTGAAGTCCACATGCCTTAAAATTGTCAAGGTTGAGAAACACTGTTTTAGAGCATCACTGAGGCCACCTGGAGGTTAATCTGTGTCCTCAGGGTCGTCTGAGGGGTGCAAAATGCACTACTCAGATTTTACACTACTCAGGTGACCCTGAGGACTCCAGGTGGCCTCAACAACTCTCTTAAAGAATGCAAATGACCAGCTGTCTGCAAGGAATAGAAACCCTTCCATTCTCTACCATCCAGTCAGAGCTGAAGAAGCTTCTTGGATAAGAAGTGAAATGTCTTTAAAGAAAAAAAAACAAGAGAATCCTGTTGCCTTGTGAAAAAGCACCTTTGGGGTAATTATGACCTGGATGACTGAGAATCTCCATAGACATTCAACCCACAAGCCTGGAGAGCAAATTTTCACCCTCAAAACCTGTATATATTTCAAGGCTGTGGAAAGATACCACATCAGATCTGTTTATTGGCCAGTGGTTTCTATACTGTGAGTTGTCAGATCATAAGCTCGACCCCACCTATCCTTATCCCTGGGATCATATGTAAATGACAAGAGTAGGAGTATGTCTGGGAAAGAAAGCCAGCTCGTTCATAGTACACTGNTTTCACCCTCAAAACCTGTATATATTTCAAGGCTGTGGAAAGATACCACATCAGATCTGTTTATTGGCCAGTGGTTTCTATACTGTGAGTTGTCAGATCATAAGCTCGACCCCACCTATCCTTATCCCTGGGATCATATGTAAATGACAAGAGTAGGAGTATGTCTGGGAAAGAAAGCCAGCTCGTTCATAGTACACTGACTTGGGCTCCCAAATTCTGCTAAGCCATCATGTGACTTCCCTAATTTGGGTTTGGCATGTGTGAAGGAATGCAGACTTGGCCTTGAGAACAGGGAAGAAATAACCCTGCCATTAAAGGGGAAGTTTCAGAAGAGATGAGTCAGTCTGAGTGTGAGGAGGAGAAGAAACTCAAAATGACCCCACCTTGAATTTATTTGGCATACAGTGGAACAGAGAAAAACTCTTGATAGGCTTTTAAGAGACTGCTTTTCTAACCTACATCGACAAAAAGCATTCTGGGTTTTTGGGCTACATCTCTTTTTCTGACCTGGCCTTGCTTGAAATGCTGTGTGGCTTGCAAACCACGTTCACAGCATCACATCCTGAGCAAATTCAAACAACTGTGATTTATGCTATATTTTTTGCTTAAGTTTTTTAAAGATTTCAAGCAGTGGCTCTCAAGGGTGGCCTTTCGCAAAAGTCTCCTAAGTAAATACTTTAAAATTTCCCAATTTCATTTTCCAATACAGTAAATGTCAATCAATATAAACCACATAAAACTAAACTCTTTGAGGTCCTCTACCATTTTTGAAAAGGAAAAGGATCCTAACATTAAATTGTTTTGAGAACCACTGACTTAAAGCAATGGGAAATTTAGGCACAATCTTTCCTGTTCGTCTTCTGACACGCTATGGAGCGATGCCTGCACTTCATTTACAGATAGTCTTCATTTAACTCTCCCAACTGGGACCAGCAATCTGATAATTAAGTGAAGCGGGTCACTAAATAAAAGCACAAATGTGCTTATGATCTTAGCTTAGCTTTCCTTTCCTTTTTTTTTATATGGACCGCACAGGTTGTAAATGCAAGGATTGGTTGTAAAGGTTTTTTTTTTCCACCCATCACCACTGTAACTGTGAATGGTCGCTAAATGAGACAATCGCTACATAAGGACTGCCTGTACTAGCTTCAGATCATTAAATTCACCCGCTTTCTGCCAGATCTGTGTTGCTGTTCTCGTTCAAATTCCATAGGACATCACAGGAAAGACTGTGGCCAATTTCATACAGGTAGTCCTTGACTTACAACTATTCATTCAGTAACCGTTGAAAGTTACAACGGCACTGAAAAAAGTGACTTATGACAAGTTTTCACACTTATGAGCACTGCAGCATCCCATGGTCACATGATCAAAATTCGGACCTTTGGCAACTGGCATGTATTTATGACGATTTCATGGTCCTGGGATCACCATTTCTAACTTTCCTTCTGACAAGCAAATGGAAGCCAGATTCGCTTAATAACTACATGATTCACTTAACAACTCTGGCAAAAAAAAAAAAAGTTGTGGAACGGGGCAAAACTCACTTAACAACTACCTTGCTTTGCAACAGAAATTTTGGGCTCAATGGCAGTCGTAAATCGAGGACGACCTGTAGCTCATTTGAAAAAATGGAAATTGGAAGCAAGCTGCTACCGTTCGCGTGTCTCAATTTTTCCCCCCTGAATCCCAGCATTCCGACCTTGGGATGATGCTGGGGGTCTCTGGAAGAGTGGTGCTGGGGTTGTCAGTGGTCTGTGTGTTGCCACCTGCTAGGGATGTACACCAAAAGCACACACACACACAACATCGCATTTACGTGGCTTACTCACGTTAAGGACTCTTCTTGTTCTCCCAAGTTGTAATAGAGCTTGCTGAGCTTAAGGAAGGCGGCCCTGTTGTCATTCCGCAGCTTAGTGGTGGGCTTCAGGTCCATGATGGCCTTGTTGTAATCCCCAAGATGGAGGTAGCACTCGGAGCGCAGCTCTTTGGGTTCTGGATCCCAAGGGGAGATCTGAAAGCAAGCCAGGGGGCAATTGATTTTCTCAGTCTAATTGTGGTATCATTCATCATCATCATCATCATCGGAAAGGACCTTGGAGGTCTTCTAGTCCAACCCCCTGCTTAAGCAACAGACCCTATATCATTCCAGACAAATGGCTATCCAGTCTCTTCTTAGAAGCCTCCAGTGATGCAGCACCCACAACTTCTGAAGGGAAGCCTTTCCACTTATTAATTGTTCTCACTGTTAGGAAATTTCTCCTTAGTTCTAGGTTGCTTCTCTCCTTGATTAGTTTCCATCCGTTGCTTCTTGTCCTGCCTTCAGGTGCTTTGGAGAATAGGTTGACCCACCTTCTTCTTTGTGGCAGCCCCTCAGATATTTGAAGACTGCTATCATGCCACCCCTAGACCCTTCTTTTCACTAAACTATGCAATCTTCCTAACCACATGTTCTCCAGATGTGCTGCAGCAGAGCACCAACGCCCAACAGTCTACAACCATCCAATCAATTTAGCGTTCAGACTGAAAAAAGCCGCTGGAGAACCCACCACTTGGGAAACATTCCTCATTTCTGGAAAAAAAAAAGTTTAAATACTGCCTGCAGGGCCTTGGGATCATGCCTGAAAATTGTATTGGTCTGCACTTCTGTTCTGCTGAATGTATCAGAATAAAAACACATCAAGAGGTAAACTCTGCTTAACAATAGCAATAGCACTTCGATTTATATACCGCTTCATAGTGCTTTTCGGCCCTCTCTAAATGGTTTAGAGAGTCAACATACTGCCCCCAACAATCTGGGTCCTCATTTTATTGATGGAAGGCTGAGTTAATCTTGAGCCGGTCAGGATCGAACTGCTGGCAGTTGGCAGAATCAGCCTGCAATGCTGCATTCTAATCACTGTGCCACCAGGCCTCTTAACAGCCTTCTTTAAGGACTTCTTCACGGAGCCCAGAAATGCTATGTACACTACATTGCTGCTTTGAAAGGCCTGTGTTCAGACTTCAAAGCATCTAAATACCACAGACATAGTTGGGACCTATTTGACCTCAAGCCGAACTACACATACTGATCCTTTTAGAATCCTTGGATTTTAGTGCCAGGGAGCTGTAAAACATGGAGACCATTTTAGGAGAGCAGAAAGGCCAGGCAATATTTTCCTGCCGGTCACATACTGCAAAACGACGCTAGCTTAGAGAAGATGAATTAAGAAGGTACCTCAATTACTCGATCCAGAAAACTGACTGCTCCCAGATAGTTTTTTTTCTGAAAAGCAGTCTGAGCTTCTTGCATGGAAAATTCTTGCTCCATGACCCTGGACAACTGGCTCTGGGCTTCTGCATCCTCCGGATTGCTCTTGAGCTGATGAAAGTGGTTTAAAAAAAAAAAAGAGTTAAGTGACACATGCTGCATATAAAAGGATGCACATAGCTTGCATTCCTTTGTGGCATGTATTAAAGAAAAATGCTCAGTTCAAACAGATCGGGACAGCGGGTTTGTTTATTGAGCAATGTTTCTATTCCACCCAGCTCCAGAGACTCTTGGGTAGCCAGCGATGAATAAAACAGAAACTCATAAAATAACAACGATAATCATGGCACAATGAGGATGGGACCGAAGAAGAAATGACTGAAATGCCTGGGGGGGGGGGGAATAATCTTCAGCTCTAGCTCTTTATCTGCCAATTTTTCCATTAAAAAAAAGAATCAGGGCTTTCTTGCTACAGGAAAACACCGGAGTTTGGGCACCGTACGGATTTTTCAGGGTACTGAATATCTCACAGGAACAAGCATTTAAAAGTCCCGCTTCCAGGACTACCTCCCACATCCCTGCTTGAGATGTCAACAGGAGAATGACAACATAACTGTATGATGCATCAAATGGGATGGGTAGATTCCAATCTACGGTCCACATGTGGCTGGAGAAATACTCCGGTTATCTACCGTAGGGCTTTTCAACCTTTTCACCCATTGTACCACTTTTAGGATATGGCAATATCCGAGTACCAGCAGTCACCTAGCAAGGTATTAAAAACTTGATGACCAAAAAAAAAAAAAAAGGAAAAAAGGAAAAAAGTGATAAAGTACAGGTAGTCCTCGACTTATAACAGTTCGCTTAGTGACTGTTCAAAGTTACAATGGCACTGAAAAAAGTGCCCCCCACGCCACAGCCGAGCAAGACACCTGCCTGCCCACCCTGCGGCGCTCTTCCTCCTGTCCGAGGTTTTCATTGTTGTGAGCATTTCTGTTGAAGATTGGCAGCAGGGGTGGGGTGGGGGGTGTTTGGTTTTTAGTCCCCCCCCCGTCTGCTGGGTGGTTGCAGCAGGTTTTGGTCACTTCACATGACCCTGGGACACTGTGACCGTCATAAATATGAATCAGTTGCCAAGCATCTGAATGTAAATCACAAGAGCCTGGAGATGCTGCAACATTCCAGCTGATCGGCGCTTCTTCAGGGCTCAGCAGAAGCCCAGGATCAGCGCCAAGCTCCAGCTGGAGCCTGGCGCTGATCCTGGCGCTTCCACTGAGCCCCGACAGCCCCGAAGAAGCGCCGATCAGCTGGAAAGCAGCACTGATCCTGGCGCTTCCGCTGAGCCCTGACAGCCCTGCAGCTCCAGCCATCTCTCACTCAGGCTTGTGCAGTGCTGCCACCAGTTCAGCTCATTCCCCTCCCCCGCTACCACTTTTCTAGGATGGTCGCGTACCACCTGCCAGGTGCCAACATACCACAGGTGGTACCCGTACCACTGGTTGAAAAGTCCTGATCTAC